AGTTATCGAAGATGAGAAGTAGGCTCGCCGATCACCTCAGAGGCGGTGTTGGCAAAGTCCCGAAAGCACTGGTCAGCGGCGGTTGCCCTCCGGGAACGTTGCACACCGAGGTCCCGCGCAAAAGCGATGAGCTGGAAGCACGCACGGACCCCGAACTCACCGTTCAGCAATGGTGGCGGCGGCGGCAGAGAGGCAAACTTGTTTGTTTAGGCGCCGGGTTGGAGGATCGGCGGGGCTCGCAACGACAATACAAACGACAAGGGGACAGTGCGGCCCCGCTCGTCCTTGAACACTCGCGGCTTGAGCCAAAATGGCTTGAGCCAAAATGGCTACGGAAAGATCTCTCTCGCTCTCTCTCTCTCTCTCTCTCTCTCACTTGTTAGCCAAATTACATGATCGAGCCCTGTGTACTCACCGCCAGGTTGCAATCTACGGTGCAGGACCGTTACGAACTCGAGAGACTCAAGCGAGCCCCAGTCTAGTCCATCAAGCATGCTCTGAGCTCGGTAGCATGAGCTCACAGATTTCAATGTGATGCCTGGGTTCCTGGCTATGGCAAAGCATTTGCACGGTAACCACACTGCATGACGCAAAGACGAAGCTGGACTTCGGCTTGAAAATACACGATGTGGACAGGAACCGAGCTGTAGTGTGGGAATCCGTTCGGGCCACTTCCCGATCCAGAGCTGAATCTGTTGGGTTTGAAGCCAACAGCCGCGGGCCGCTTGCAGCCCATGCTCTGGCACACAACTGGCTGCCTAAACGTGATGCCTTGAACCCTCCTCCAGGGGAGCTGCATTGAAGGGCTTCGGGGTTCCATTCATCGCACCACCATGGCCAGATCGCTCCGAGCTTGGCCACTGCTCTGGGGCTTCCAAGAATCGAAAACCCGTATGGTCTGTGACAACAAAGGTTTCAGGAAGATGAGACACGGCTTGGACCTATGGACCGGCACTAGCGTACTGCTGCAATAGTGGGCATAGTGCTTCGAGTCTAGCAGTCTAGCCAATCTGGAAGCTATGAGCTGCGACTGCATCCCCTAGAGTTTGCTACTTGGCCAGGCGATCTGGGCCCGCAGCTTAGTTGCAGCACCATGTGTTGGAGTTGAGCTCGGCTTGGTCGTGGGGGACGCCGGATGCGATCGCTTCGCCGTGCTATGGGTGGTGGATGCACTCGCCCAGAAGCTGTCGGGTGTGTGCGCTGCATTGTCACGTTGCCATGTTGAAACCTAATACCGTCTGTCTGAGCCATACGACACTGGCGACAAGTAGGCCCTGTGCAGAGTTGCCTCAGCCTGATCCGATACTGCTACGAAAGCCACACCGACATTGCTGCGCTTATTCCTGTGAGTAGACAGCAGTGCCTCGAATGGCAGGAAGCCTAAACTCACACAGTTCCCGAATCTAGAGTACCATACTACTATTTCTTATGTAATCGAAGTCCTAATCGAACAAAGACTGCGTCGGAATTAGTGGTCGATGCCCGGGACTACATAGGCTTGCCAACAAAAGAGCACACCACGCCGTCACCACGCCTCAGTGTTTTGCGGCTAGGTCGTGATCTCGCGCATGCCAGGCCGTCCGCGCTCCCGCTTTGGCCAGCTTTGGGATCTTCTCGCATGGCATGAAACTTCGGAAATGGTCACGGCTCAGGATCAGCAGACACTCTAGGGCTCTAGGGCTCGCAAGTATCTGATCCCATCTGAGCGACGGCAACCGTGACCGAGAAGCACGTGCGGCACGTGTGCCGCTGATATAATACAAGGGCCGAGAAGCATGCGATGACGGATTCCGAGGCACTACACCATAGGGATCGACTTGACCGTACTACTGGTATTCACATTCAAACAGTTTTCCCATGCCAAGAGAACAGGCTGAATATTCGCTTCGGTCCTTGTATTGCCCGTGGAACTGCAGCCAGCGGCTTGGCTACTCATCGCGCGAAGAGTGGTATCGGCCCACAGGTAGTTTTCTTGGGGCGTCGGGTCTGGTAGACTTCGGGGTTGGGTTTGAAAAAAATTGCACCCACGCTCCGAGGTGGATTCTCCTGCCGCTCTGACCGGCACTTCTTGGCTGCCAGAGACAGAGAGTATGTCAGCGAAGCCTGCCATCTCGCATCTCTTGCCTGAGGCAGTGTGAGTGCTCGTAGCGTCTCGAGAGGTTCGGGAGCCCTTCCCGATAGGGCCGTGGGCACAAGCATTGAAGTGCGTAGCCATGAGACTGGGATTTTCAGGCCCAGCCGTACCAAGCCATTTTCACTTCGTTTCGCAGGAGTCTTTCTGTCAAATGGGCCGAACACCGATTTCAACCCATCTACACTGGAGTGAGACCATGAAAATCATGCAGAATATACAGAAAATTGGCTGCACGCCGAAACGACAAAGGGGTCCTGTGCATGAAGGAGGGCACTTGCCGGTCTGGTCAGGCAAGCTGTCGCCTGATGTCAGGAGCCCTATCCCAAGGATGGAGTTGGATGCAACGAGTAATTCTAATCAACAGCAGCAGACTATAATTAGCTTATTACCGCCTACGTTGCTTTTTCCACATCCTTGCGCTGTTTGCTGGAATCGCTCCAGCCACTCTTGTGGTGTCACTTACCCAAGCTTGCCGTCTTGCCGCGGCGGCTTCACTCCGTCTGCCTGCCTGGGATGCTTCATGGGTTGACAGGACAGCATGGCAGCTGATAATTCAAGAGAGACAAACGGACATGCAATGAGTAGGGCTATGTCTTGGCTGGCCGAGAAGTTGTGCCGATGCGGCCACACCAACATGGCAGGCCGGCATGTCGGAAAACTCGCATTGGTCACTTACACACACCTGGCCGAAAAGGCTTGCATACGAGCAGCATCAAGTTTTTGACCAGCACACCTGCGCCGTGTGTTTTCACGCGTGTAGAGCCGTAAAGCATACAGGATATGTTGAAGCATATCGCGAAGCAAGGGAGTCGCGAATCCATGTTGCCAGCTTTCTTTCTAAGTCACTATCAACCCCGGCCCCGACATCCCGATTGCTTGAACTTTCAGCTGCCTTTCGTGTTTTTCACCTCCAGCGCACTCAGCAAGACAAAGGGCACAACATTGTCCCACTTCTCAGGGACCTAAGCGACGAGGAGAGCAGGCCGCAGCATCTGAGCAAGGTGTGCAAATGCTGTCTTGAACTCCGCAAGATGCACTGGGCTGGAAGCGTCCATCTTGCAGATCCGAAAGACCTAGGCTCGTGAGCCCTCGTAAGCCCAGCTTGAGCGGCTTGAATGTCTGGCACCAATTCTCATGAAGCCTGAGCCGCTGGCAGTCATGTACGTCTCCTGGGATGGCAGGCAACAGCCATGAGGCCACCACACAACAGAGTCTCCCACAAGTTTGTCCAGTGAACATCGGGGGGGTTTGCCCCCTCGTTCAGAGTTCCGCCGGGGTGTTTGGCAGAAGGTGAATCTAGCCTTTCATGCCTTCAATAGAAACCTGGCCTCATGCACCGAGCAGCACTCCCACCGCCAGGACACGCACTGAACACGACAAAAGCATCACTTAACGACCGAACTGTACAACCCCATGCCATGCCATTTTACCACATCACTTTAGACTCCGTGCGAGAAGTGCCATTGGCAACACCTTCAACTTCCCAACCCAGTCTGTTCCTAAGTTGGTTCTCCGACGCGGACGGGCTTCTTCCGCATGCCAGCAGGAACTGCACCAGCCGTCCTCGCAGGAATACCGCACCTAGGCGAGTTTCGTGTCCATTGCTACAAGCAGCAGTACCTAAATTGCAAAAAGAATAAGAGCCCTAGTTGTACTCCACGTAGTCTGCTGCCACCTGCAGAGGGTCACCAAACCATCATCCAAAACGACAAGGAAGAAGTAGTCGCAGTCACCGTCGTCTGAGAAATGGTTTCAGTAGGCCCGTAGCCGTCGTCGTCGTTGTCAGAGTTGTCAGCATACGAAATTAGTAGGTAGCAATGGTGGTAGTAGTAGGATTAGTAGTAGCAGCAGTATCAGTAGCAGCAGCAGCAGCAGCAGTAGTAGTAGTAGTAGTAGTAGTGGTAGTGCTAGTGCTAGCAGCAGCAGCAGTAGTAGCAGCAGCCGTTGTAGCAGTAGTAGCAGCAGTAGCATGGTAGCAGCAGCTGGGGTAAGCAATACGACAAACTTGTTCCATATCACCTTCAGGCAGAACCTGAGAATATCCTTTCGAAGCCTACTGTACGTCAGTAAATGCAACATTGCCACAGACCGGCCGAAGAGGACAGACGCGCCCAAATACGGGAAAATCTGTCATCACAAGAACTGCCACTATGACTGCCTCTACGATGACAGGTGACAATGATTAGACACGTCTAGATCAACATCAAGCCCAGGGACGTTGGCTCCCAGGGTCTCCTCGCACGCCTGGGTTTCGTACAGATTCAGATTAGGGGCAGGGTGGGATTGAAGCAAACGCAACATCCCCAAGCAAAACCCTGAACAAGCAGCAAACACTAGAGCCAGTAGAGCGGGATCATCGCGTGCTTTTCATCCCAGGCAACCAGCTCGAAAACCCTTTCCGGTGAAGAGCACCTGTCAACCCTGTCAAACGAGAGCTGGCCACCACTAACCAGAAATACTTCCAGACATCCCAGCCCTAAGCCGGTCATATCAATGCTGACTTCAAACTCCCAGGGGCTATGCAATGATACAACCTGGCGACACCAACAAACAAAGACGAATGCGGCCGGATGTGCACAGCATAAGTTCAGTCCAAGCGACGCGAAGAAGTGCTTTGCGTTTGTAAGTCGCCATTTTCAATGACGGCTTCCACACAATCTTGACCTAAGAACACAAGAAGCACAAAAAGCTGCCATATGTAATTCAAAGCCGAAACCAATCTATTGATGGCGGTGGTGGGTGGTGGGTGGTTTTTGTCAAGGTAGTGGTCGCTGTCGGAGGAGTAGTTGTAGTAGTGGCCGTCGTCGTCGCCCGAGTACCAAGGCAAGTAGCCGTACAGGTGGTGGTAGTAGTCGCAGCAGCAGTAGTAGTAGTAGTAGTAGTGGTAGTAGTAGTAGTAGTAGTAGTATTTGTATTCGTATCATTAGCAGTAGACGTAATCGTCGTCGTCTCGTGGTAGCAGTAGTTGTCAGTGCATGACACAGCACGACTGGGTGTTGCTGCCTGCCGGCGTCAACTACAAGACAGCAACAATACGCGACAGCGCATGCAACGCACTTGGTAGAAACTGAGGCAGAAGCAGGCCCCCGCAGGTAGTTGCGAACCAGCTTCAAGGTCACGCTATCACCTGCCAGGATGAGAAGAAATAATAACGAACAGCATCATGATCAACTAAGTCCTCGGAGCCAGGATGGCAATGCTTGCAACTCTGGCAGCTGCAACTTGTGATGAACATGATGACAATCATGTGATGAAGATGATGCTGCCGATGAAGATGGATGACAGTCATGGCATGGCTGTTTTGTGATTCGTGATGTTCGGGCATCGCAACCCTTCCAGGGGGCAGAACCGCCTTCGGACTCTTTGACTAGCTTGCTGACGGTCTTCAAATCGCCGCCTGCAGGTAGGGGAGAGAGCACAGGAGCATGCTGAGCATGCAGCATCAAAGCATTGCCGTAGAAACGCGATGCTTCGTGCCAGTTCCTCTGACTGTTGAGTCGCATCAACCTGCCGTACATGTACTGCTATGTTCAGTCACTTCCGATCAGGTTCTTCGGCTGCCGTCGCCTGTCGTGTATGTTTCTCGGGCGGTCGCAATTACGACGTTGAGCAGGGCGCGTCGTGAATCACGGAGCCTACTCATAGGAACACCATCATGCCAAAGCCATGTTCTCGAAGCCTCAAAGCCTCAAACCCAAAGCTGAAACTGGGAGGCCTTCGCACAATGTGCCGTTCACAGCTACCACTTCATCTCCCTCGAGGACGAACATGCCTTCGGCCTCGGAGCAGATCGGGGACATAGTTTTTGGTACTGGCAAAGGGACATAGGTCACATGTAAGGGTTCGTAAGCTGCCCGAAGGGTGCCTCTCAGAATGCGCCGGGTAGTGGCAAAGTGAATTGCATCCTAGTCGTCATCGTTGATCATCGCACTCGGTCTAAGCAAGCAGCGCAAGCAAACCCAAAGCAGTGCGGGTTGTCTTGAACAAGTCCGGCATCCTTGCCGCACCGAGCCAGTCAGCCTGGCCATTGCATCCGAGCCACATCGTTGAGCAGAACCTCCTTGTTCCAGAGGTCCTAGGGTTCACACAACTTTGCCAGCACTCGCTCTGAACGTTTGATCGCTCAGTCCAGCCCCAACTTCAGTTTCTGGATGCGTCGTACACCCCACGAGGCTCTCCAGCGTGCCCAAGTGGGTCCACAACATGTGAACTTTACAGAGAACACTGATGAAGCATGCCCAACAACCCGCCAAGCCATTGTCAAACAAGGCTCCGTGTTGCCGCCTCGGGGGTGCTTCACTCTCTCTGAAACAAACTGAAGCACATGCACTGCTCGTGAGTTAGGGAGGTTCTGGCTTGGGCCTGCTGGCCTTCGCTGCAATCGCACTCCGGTATACTCTGATGATACCCCCAGCGGGCCTTCCTTGATGCCAGCGATGCCTACGCCCGGCCGGTTTGGAAACTCCTTGGGCGTGACGCCCAAAGGCTTGGGTATGGTGACATCGAAGATGGCCCTGCCGCCTTCAATGCGCTTCCTGAGACACATCTCACACCTCCACAGCGATTCCCAATTGCTGGGCAGTGGCTCGGGGGTCATGCTTGCTGTCTGGCGGCACCCTGGAGTTCCACTGCGCCACTGTGGCGCGACGTGCCACCACTGAAGACCGGGAATGGGCTCCCTGTCTCCGCGCTACGGAGGCAGCGAGGGCTCCCAAAGAGACAATTGAAAGCGCAAGCGGTGCTGCAGGCACAGCTTGCTCCGCCCTCGCAGGGCGAGCCAGGGTGCCTCAGAAAGTGCAGTGCATTGCTGTCAGAACCGATGTCTGAGGGTCCCTGGACTGAACCTGTCGCCAATGCAGGGCTCGGCGCTGCTTCGGCCTCTAGACTGGGCATTGAGCTGTGCCTTGCTTGAAAGCCAGGGCGATGGTGCCACGAAGGTCTGGGCCCATGTGCATGCTGCCAAAGCAGCTGCAAGGAAAGCCTCGGCTGCAACACTCTTTCGGCCCAGAGGATCGTGGCTGGACCAAAATTTTCGTTGACGGGGAGCAGCCAAAGCCACCGGCTCGTGTGCCGTCATGGAATCAAAGGCCGAATCTACGGCATGGCTTGAGCACAGTGACTCCTGCAGTTTCCGGCCGTCTCCAAACTTTAACCTCTGTACCCCAATGTGGGGGCTGTTCGCCCTCGAAGACAAAAAAACCTTCAAGTAACTACCACAATGCGGAATGCATCTCAGAGGGGCATCCACAGGCATGCTCCGAGGGGCCGGCTCCGTTTTGCACTCTAGTACGGTGCATATCTGGCGGCCTCAGCCCACTGCAAGGTCACCCAAAACCTCTCATGCCCCATCCGAGCTCGTGCGAAAGAGAAATCTAAGTCCGGGACGAAACCCTTCGAGTTGCCTGGATAGCACAAGGGCGATGAAAACAATTCCAGCAAAACCCATGATAGCAACAGGCGTACTTGTGACACTCACTATCACCACAAACCACAATGCGAATACTTGAATTCATGGTCAGCTTTGGTCAACGTAGCAGTAGTAATCGTAAGGGACATGAATTCTGAGCAATCCACAGCGATATAACCGAACATGACACCACATCACTCAAGAAGAGATGGCCGCCGCCTTTGCCCATGTTCCAGCCGTTGGCACCCTTTTCTCCTCTCCGGGAAACTGCGTCTCTCTCAGAGTGAGGGATCGGGATGCTCTTTCCTCACAAGGTTTTGGGCTTGAGGGTTTTTGAATGGCTCTAGGACCTCAGGATTCGACAGACAAATTCTGCCTTGCCTGGGGCGTCTTTCCGAGCAATTGCCTCGGGCACGGCAGATAATCGAGTCAAATGGCTCCAACCTTAAGAAAATCCCTCTGGCGCACCTGATGTCCGATTCTGAGCTCTGGGCCGTCCCCTCTGGGCAAACGTCTTCAGCTCTGGGTCGGCCGGTCTTGCCTGGGAGAAGAGGTGCTTGCTGCTTGTGAACTTTTGCAGGTCGTCAAGTTTCCGATTGTCTGCTGTCAGGTTGTCCTTGCTGAAGCTCTGTACAACTGGCAATGGGTAGCCGAACAAGCAGGGGCAGCCACCGGCGCAAACTGCTTCTAAAGCCTCGCGATCGTCTGTCTGGGCGTGGCGCTGTCCAAGACCACACGGTAGCTGACTCGTGTGCCTTCCGGCGGTATGACCTCATATTTCACATGCATCTCCGTGTCGGTTGTTCAAGCATGCTCACGCATGCCGGGCTTCAGGCAGACCCGAATGATGCACAAGAGATGGGCATCACGAACATTTTCTGCCAGGTTTGAATGTGTACTTGGACAAGAAGCATGCAAGACTCGAGGACAAGGCAGGCTAGGGACCTACCACAGAAAGACAAACCGGCTTAGAAGCCTGCCCCTATTCGCGAGCTCAACTACTAGGTTGCACCTGGCCGTCATCTTGCAGAATGAAGCCGTACCTTTTTTTCTGCGCCACAGTGGCTTTTCGGAGCAGTCGACCCCTCTTAGCAGTAGAAGGCAAAGCAAAAGCGCCGAATCCAAGGCGAGGACTTCTCTCCACGCTGCTGGATCGTTCCAGCGTAGTCTAAGCCCAGGCCCGTGTTTGGATCGGCGGCTGCCATCCCCGTGCCCTGACACCGAAGCATCTTTTTTCTGTTTTTCTACATCTACAATTTGCGCATGATTTGCTTGTTGGCGACGCATCACGGAGGCTAGATGTCAGCATCACGGAAACCTCGGGACGGACGCTTTCTGCTCTCGGTCTGCCCGTCTTGTTGTCCATCACCAACTCAGTCGCGAGTATGTGCGCTTTCGAGAGTTGCAGATCGCTGGGACTCGGCCGAGCCAACTCTGGGAGCTTGGCTGTGTAAGCGACTCTGGTTCCAACTGGCCTCACGAAGGTGTCTGTGAGGCATGTCTCGGTGGCTGCCGTTCACAGGCTCTCACCACTGCCAAACTGCTCTGAGGTCGAAGGCGGTATGGCTACTTCGCCTGTGCAGGCAGTGCAGGATCCTGGCATGACCTCGTCACGCAAGGGGGCCGAGGACTGCAACAGCACGGCACCTCCATAATGATCAAAAACAAGCTCAGGTACTGGCAAAATGCTTCTCGCCAGAATCAGACTGGATGAAGCCGTAGGTGGGGCCACCCTGCAAAACCAACATGCTTAGAACTTTCAGCCGCTGCATATTGCATCCAATTGCTGCAGGCCTCAGGCCCTCAGGCCGCCCAATACTAACAACTATCATTACAACCTGTTATGATTTTGCCTAGATCCTACCGTCTACGATTGTTCCTCAAATAGATTCGGATACTCCCGGTAAGGAGCTTAGTCAAACAAAGGGCCCCTCGTCCATTCGGCATGTGGATGACATTCAGGTGGTCGAAGAGTCTAAGGCATGCTCTGGGGGTGCAGCGAACTACATGCGTGCGTGCGTGCTGGTGTGCGTGCGTGCGGTCGTGGGCGTGGGACACACATACACACATACATACATACATACATACCTACCTACCTACCTACCTACCTACCTACCTACCTACCTACATACATACATACATACGTACATAACATAACATAACATAACATAACATAACATAACATAACATAACATAACATAACATAACATAACATAACATAACATAACATAACATAGCATAGCATGGCATGGCATGGCATGGCATAGCATAGCATAGCATAACATAACATAACATAACATAACATATAACACATTCCATTACATTCCGTTACATTCGTACACGTAGAAATGCATATGTCATCATATTTACCCCAAACACTCTGGAAACTGTGAAGGCACCCAAATGAAGCAGAACCTGCAAATCGCGTTTCATCTTTCGGAGCATTCCGCCCATTCCAAATTTGGCAGAGGGCTTTTCCAGGTAGAGCGCTACTGGTTTAACATCATGGCCTGAATAATTACCTCGACTATTTTGGTGTTCCTCATTATAACTAAAGTATAGTATACCCCAACACCCTGTTCTATTGTTTGTGGCCCCTACACTAAACCCTAAACCCTAAACCCTAAACCCTAAACCCTAAACCCTATTCTATATTTTTGTGGCCCCTACATTAGGGGTTTTTCAGCTGGGTAGTTCTCCAAAGCAGGGTCCCCTTTAAGAGCCCAGGAGAGGTCGGCACCCTTTTTGCAAAGAGGAGCCTAAAGCGACCCGAATTTAAAGAACCACCCGTCGAGAGGGTTTAAGGTTTAGGGCTTAGGGTCTAGAGGGCTACGTCTTTAGGAAGTGGGGCATAATTTTTCAGGGTGGTCTTAGGATTTGGTGTCCTCAGGCTTGTGTTCCCCAAGGCCCCCAGGGGCATCTATGAAACCCTAAACCCCAAACCCTAAACCAAAACCCAAAACCCCAAACCCTAAACCGTGCATCTATGTTGGGACAGTACCGGAAGGCCTACACTCGCGATGGTACCCTGAAATCCCCAACGGTACCATGCCGACACGCCCTTGGGTGAAGGCTTAGGGATTTGGGATCTCTGGTGTAGGGCTCAGGGGCAACTCTGGTGTAGGGCTCAGGGTTTAGTTAGGGCTGATAAGGTTTAGGGTTTAGGGTTTAAGGTTTAGGGTTTAGGGTTCAGGGTCTGGGGTTTAGGCGTTTAGGGGTTAGGATGGACCCTAAATCCCAAAGCGCAAGACCCCCCTCGCCTAAAACTCGTACGGAAACTCTTGCGCAACACCGCACAAAGGCCCCCCTGGGCGAATGGGTCTGAGTGATGAGCTGTATTATCCCCTTACCGGTTCCCTACAGTCATACGATGGCAGTATTAGCATACCCGAAAACTCACTTAAACGGTGGGTTTCTGTTGAGAAAGTCTCCTCAGAAGGGGTGTTCTGGAAGTGTAGAAGCAAGCCCTAAACCCTAAACCCTAAACCCTAAACCCTAAACCCTAAAGTGTAGAAGCAAGCCCTTTGCTGCTTCTCCTTTGTGCACGGACCACTACGAATCGTCGAGCCGTTTGTTGAGAACCTCAGTGGCTTTCCGTGTACAGAACCTCGAGGCACTCACCCAGTGTAGGGGTCTGAATCCATCGATCTCTGCCGTGTAGGATTTTTGGAAAACCCTGAACGATCCTACATGTTTGGGATTCCTATCTAGGATTTCCTTATCCATGTGCTTGAAGAAGTAGTTGCCTTTGGGCACGGGCTAATAAGGTCTGTGGTTCAGGGTTTAAGGGTTCTTCCTTGCCCAACATGAGTCGAAGACAGTAAAGAAAGTTGCGCATCGTGTTCAGACCCCTGCAAGAGAGAAACCGTGGTACACAGCAGAAGCGAAAGAGAGTGCGGCATTGGGGGGATGGGAAGCAACCCTGGGGTACTGACGCCGAAGCCGCAAATCCTGGATGTCAAACTTTAATGGTGTTTGGAATGAATCGTAGCTGTACTTGTTCACACGGTCCCTACAAAAATGTATAATATAACCCCCAACCCTGTTCTGATTAAAAAGGTCTACAAAATTACCTCAGCATGAGCTGAACCTTTTCGGGCGCTTGCGGCTGAGAGGTCATTTAGAGCCAATCGTAAATCCTAAGCACTGCAAGCGGTGCGGGGCGCAGCGGGGCGCAGAGCTCTCATACGGTTTTACACTCATCCTCTAAACCCTGAACCCTAAACCCTAAACCCTAAACCCTACCTCCCCTCAAACACACTGAATTGTAAGCCTTGAGCCTGAAGCTCCCAAATGTGGTACTACACTTAGGGTTTAGGGTTAAGGGTTTAGGGTAAATGTGGTACTACACTTTGTGTCCATCAAGACTCTAAGCTCTGAGCCGTAAGCACCTTACTACATCCACGTATGTCCATCGGGCGAAGTACCCATAGGCCCCATGGTAGTTCCTTTTTGGGGTTCACATTTTCAATCCTATAACGTAATCCCCAAAAAGGAACTACTATGGGGCCTATGGGTATGTCCATCGGGCGAAGGTGGTCGACACACCGAACTTGGACGACATCGTGGAAGCAGACCTTTGGGGCCGAAAGGCTCTGGAAGAGGGCTCAAAAACAGAAGTTCTTTCAGAGTTTACTTAAAGGATCATGGGACTTAGTAAGTAGGGTTATAATTAGGGTAACTATACTTACAACCCCAATTAAGGGACTTATAACCTTACTTACTAAGTCCCATGATCCTCCAAGTAGGGTGTAGGGGTTAGCAGGGGGCTATTTAAGGTTTCGGGGTTTAGGATTTAAGGGTTTATAGGGTTGAGGGTTTAAGTTTCAAGGTCCGCAGGGTTTGGGCTTTAGGGTTGCAGGGTTTGGGGTTGTTCTCGCTGTTGTGGTTTAGGGTTTAGGGCTTAGGGCTTAGGGGTTTAGGGGTTTAGGGGTTCAGGGGTTTAGGGGTTTAGGGTTTAGGGTTTAGGGTTTAGGGTAGGGTGTTGGGATTCTTCACTCAAGGGTAGTCCCTCGTATCATCAGCAATGTAGTAGCTTACACCCACCGGCCCTAATGCAATCTTGCAGGCCCTAATACAGCTGGGGCAAAGCCTCAAATGCCGCGTCAAGAAGGGTAATGAAGTAGCATGTATACAGTATACAGCGAACAGCACTGGCCAACAAGCCGCTTTTGTTTCGCGCTGTACATTCTAACTCGAAGCCCTAAGCCTCGTATCAGGGCCTGAGAACATGTATCCCAAAGCCCAGTTCTAATTCATTTGCCCGGATATGGGAGTTTCCGAAAACAAGGGGTTCCTGTCCTTATAACAGGGATCCTACTATTTAGGGTACTATATTAGGGTCCCCTATTTTCAGAAACCCCCATATAGCCATAATTATACGTAGTGACAGGGTTTAGGGTTTAGGGTTTAGGGTTTAGGGTTTTAGGGTTTTAGGGTTTAGGGTTTAGGGTTAAGGGTTTAGGGTATTGGAGTAGAGATCATCTTTGAAAAACCGCGCAGGCCTAGGCCCAGCGTCAGCCTCAGCTCCGCCATCTAAAACGATGCAGCGATACTCAATATGGGGTACTATATAAATTAGGGGTACCTTATTTTGGGATCCTTATATTAAGGATCCTATTATTTGGGGTACTATATTAAGGTCCCCTGTTTTCGGAAACCCCCATATTGCAGTCTTCGTTTGAACAGGGCTTTTTTGGCAAACTACAGGCTCAATACATGGCCTATAAGGGGACATGGTCACTAGCCCTGGGCTCGAGTTCATGAAAGACTATGTTACTAGACAAGCTTCTGGTACTTCGAGTGGTTGGTTGCCTAGTGCTTAGATAAACACTATAAGCCCTAAACCCTAAACTCCTAAACCGTAACTGGAGTTCTCATGATGCCTCCTTCAATGCAGTTCCTTCTTGCCCTGACCAGTTTTCGGGTTGGAAGCTGACTCCAGGCCGCAACGGAGGTCTCCAAGACCCTCAAGACGACTGCGTGATCGAGGCTGGGCGTTGGTTTAGGGTTTAAAGGTTGAGGGTTTCGGGTTGAGGGTTTAGGGTTTAGGGTGTAGGGTTAACCCTATGCCTAAACGTAACACGATCGTGGGCACTTTCGAAACTTCAGGGCTTGGACATGTGGCCGGAGGGTTTAGGGTTTAGGGGTTTAGGGTTCAGGGTTTAGGGTCATAGGTCCAGAGGTCTTGGGTTTAGGTTCTCTTACGGCGCACATGCCTCTTGGCAGGCAGATGCTGTGACGTTTCGGCTGCTTGCCGCAGACTCTGTGCGACTAATCTGATGGCGGGGCTCCTGTTGCCATGACCCTAATCCCTAAACCCCAAAGCCTATGGGCCCTAGACTCTCAAATCTGACAGCCCACATTACAGCGTCGTAGACTCCCAGTCCCAAGAGCGTAAAGCATTTAATATAGATCGCGGCCTTGAATACATGCGGATTTATTTCTTACTATAGCATCAAGATACCCCCGTTCCCCAAAGCCCTATTCTAATCACCCAGCCTATGCTTCGGAAGTGGCTCTTGTCATAAAGAGCTTCCTGTTGGGTGTCCTGGTGTCTGTGAATTCAGAGGTGTCGGCTCAGATACTTGGGTCTTGCGACATGCGTAGTTAGTAATCTTGTAAATCGAAACCTTACAAAGAGAATCATAGAACCCCCCCCCCATGCGGCAGGTACGGTAGGAACACGGGAATGGCTGTTGGAGTTTCAGGTTGACCTCTTCCCCAAGACCCTAAACCATGAACCCCAAACCCTAAACCCTAAACCCTTCTCGGCCATCTTCACATTTTCGAGGAAATGCACTGCAGTGCGCTCAACTCTAACTTTTACTATGTATTTTACATTGTACATGATATATATATATATATCACTACTTTTTATTATGCATCATCTAATCGATATTGCACATTACTATGTGCTGCATATTATATGTTACATATCATATGTTATGCGTGATGTATTGTAGAAATACTAAGTCAGGGGAATTCAGGGTATTTCTTGGAAAGCCTCTGTCCTGCCCTACTGGCAGCAGAAACTATGTCACTTCGTTTAAGAGTTCTAATTATGACCCGCCCTTACTGGAGCCCACGGAATTTCTTCGCGTGCTTTTTTTCACGATCACTCCACCAAGGGTCCAAGCGTTGTTGGAGGACCTAGTCGAAACATGGAGCCTGTCCATCGTGGAAGCATCCACGAAGGTTTAGGGTTCGGGATTTTCCTGGATTTTCAGTTTCGGGTTCAACGTCCAGGGTTGAGCGTTTCAGGGTTTTGCAATCGAGGGTTCAAGCTTACTGGTGACTGCAGAAGTTTCAACTTCAAGCATTCAGTACCTGTTTTGGTTCTTGGTGCCTTGAACCTCAGCCGTAAATGCATCATGCATTTGCCAAAGTTGGGGCAACAAGCCGAAGACAATTAAGAATGAGACACGGGATTGGGGCATGTTGTGCCAATGGTGAGCTTAAGCTCGGAGACATGTCTCCTCCAGCCGGGCATGGCTGAGGGCTATCGGATTGGTAAGAGGTAGACGACACCAGGGACCCCCAACTTGCATCAACGGGCACTGGTTCCTACCTGTAGTCGCAAGGTCATGTTGGAGACGTGCGATTAGCGTTGCAGGTCAGGGTTGGAATTCAGAAGTTGTGGGTTGTGGATGTTGAAAGAGGCAAGGTTCATCGTCCAAACCCTAAATCTCAAACCCTAAAGTCTAAACCCCAGACACGCAACGCTTGGACCTTTCACTCTCGAGCTTTGCGGCACATCTAGAAAGAAGGAAAAGGCGTCACGTGCGGCCGAAGGCTAAGATCTCTTGATCCTGTTTCTCTCTGGTGTTTTCGAGGGTTTTGGCAGCCCCTGCGCGCGGAGGTCGCAAGCCTAGGATCTGCTTAGGATTTATAGCCATATTCAGTACGTATAGAGGCCTTAATAATTAGAATATGGTATTTGGGGCTTCCATCTTATAGTTATATTATACTGAGCCCCAAAACCCTATTCTAATTAGTATAAGGCCCCTCCACCCTAAACCCTCTAGAACCCTCTAAGGAACCCTTTAAGGGAACCCCCAAAACCCTATTCTGAGCCCCTCCACAAGGTCCGGTACTCTTCGGTCCGTAGGAGTTCCTAGGACTTTAGGCCCCCCCTAAACCCTAAACCC